AGTGCGTATTCTTTGCCCAGATGTTGATATTGATTAATTGAACTTAAAATGTCACATCCATGTTAAACGTGTGTCCAGTTGTTTATTGCGATGGTAAAATGTTACATCTAGGGGTCTGCGCGCAGATGTTGATATCGATCGTCGATCGTCGATCGTGAAGGTCAGAACCGTACTTGACATCCAGGGGTTTTATATTTGTACCTCTATATTGTCGCTATGTAACGATGATGATTTACATAAGGGGGTTTTGAATAAAATGTCATGGTAGTTTTATGTAAGGGTCTCTTCCCAGCTATTGATAATGATTCAAATACTTTGTATATAAAAACTCCATGAAAACCATTTTACTCCAACTGAAGCATGTTTCAGTACGCCGTACGTACTTATTATGGTTTGTCTACATTTAAATTCTCTGCAACAAAAATCTGGGAATCTGTCCCACCTGAATTGAAACGTTTTCCATACATGCTCTTCAAAAAGCAGTATAAAAGATTCATATTGAGTACCCAAATCTGACCATACGTATTAGTTAGTTATATAAGATAATGCTTGGCAATATTGATGTAGTTTTCTCTTAATTCCAACTTGTACTTACGTGTGTTCTTCTTCCCATTACATTCTTTAATATAACTTTTGATTTTAATTATACCTAACATGGGGCCAACCCCAACTCATATGTGTGCATGACAGTGACCAACTCGAAAGCTCATTGGCTACTTTGGTCACTGCACACAATTAAATATTCTTTCTTTTAGTAGATTTCTGTTTGTATCTTTTCTGTATCATTGTAAATCATGTTATGTTAAGTTCTTTTATGCTGTAAATAGTGAGAAATAATAAAATTGAAACTTGAACTTTTCATTTCTGCGTTTGTAAAATGATAATCTCAACTGTAAATATCATGTTTTCTGTTGCAAGAATTCCACTTCCTACTTGACTTTATTTGCCGGCGAGCAACCACAGCGTGTCGCTGTTCATCGAAGCAACGTCAGAAAGGATGTCATTGAAACAGTTAGCAACCCAAACATTTAGTTTAGCTGCAGTCTTGATGTCGTTGTTATAGATGCAAGGGGTGGACCAGAGGCGGGACGGAGCAGAGGAGTTCTGCTTGATGTCTTGACGCGTTTCTGGCAAGAATTTTTTACAGCTCTGACGATTGGAGGTAATGAGAAAATACCATACATAAGGCATGATCTCCAAAAGGCTGAATGGCAGGCCATCGAACGAGCCCTTGTTTATGGGTACCAAAAGATGAAGTATTTTCCTCTTCAAGTTTCACATTTATTTGTTGCATCAAGCTTGTTTGGGGAGGAAAGTATAACTCCCGACTTTCTGTTGAAGTCATTTCGGGAGTATATCGCGGAAGAGGATAGGGAGGTACTGGATATGTGTCTAAGAGATGACTTTGACCTCCAAGATGACGATGGTAATGATAATGATGATGTGCTGAAATTTCTTTCCCCTTTCAAGTGTTTTCGAATCCCCAATAAAGACAGCATCATATCCATCATCAGCGAGCTTGCCCATCAAGAGCTCATCCAGAAACCGAGGTATGTGTTAAATTGCTGGGCTCCCATACTGGATGTTCCACGATGTGATCACAGCTTCCAAACACTCGAGGGACTTGATCAACTGTACAAAAGTAAACGACCAATAGCGAAGAAGACAGTTAAACTGTTGCAAGGAGAGCAAGCAACCGATGCTGAACGTCAGAGTCTCGACTATTTGAAGAAATTTGTCAAGTCCTTGGAAGGGAAGGCGCTTTCTATGTTTCTACGCTTTTGCACAGGGAGGGATGTGATCACCTGTGACTCGATAAGAATTTGCTTCTCCTCGCTGGAAGGGCTTCAGAGACGCCCTGTGGCCCGTACGTGTGTTCCCATTCGGGAGCTTCCCCTCGTCTTACGAGCAACTATCGACCAATTTCTGTATTACCCGTTCTTTCTAAGATCCTTGAACGACACGTTGCAACATCTCACCGCAAACACCTGCACAGCTATGATTTGCTATACAACCTCCAGTCAGCTTTTCGTCCTAATCACTCCACGGAAACGGCACTGATTAAATTAACTGATGAACTGCTCTTTAATATGGATAATAATATGGTAACTGGCTTAGCTTTTGTCGATTTTAGAAAGGCTTTCGACGTGATAAATCACGAGCTTTTACTTAAGAAGCTATCTATTTATGGAATCCTCGTCGGGGAGTTTTGATTAGGTTTTAGTTCTTGAAGATTGGTTGTTTCTCAAGTACTTTGTTGTTCATTTCGAATGCCTTGCGATATTTGTTTGGTTAGCATTCCAAAGAAACGATGGAAATTAGAGTTATGAAGTCTTTTACAGACTACATTTACGACATATGATTTAAGCCTTTTAAGATTCTCATTGCAATGCACTCAGCTTATCAGTCTTTCCTATTAGTGTTTATAGCCTTGCTGTTTATCACACCCACTAGACTTTCAGGGTGGAGATGCAAACACATTAGATCTACGGTGTTACGCATGCGCCGCGGGAAGCGTCAGCANAACCACTGACCTCTGCGATACTAGTGCAGCGCTCTACCAATTGAGCTAACAAGCCAACTGGGAGCAGGCCATCAAATTAATTCGATATAAACCCGTAGATGATAAATCAAACAACAACAAACATATGAAACATATGTGTGAACTGCGGTTATGAGACGTATATGAGCACGATCCTTCGCAGTAAAGCACTATTTGAGCAATAGTGAAAATCAGACCTGAAAAAAATTTCAGGCCTGTACGGGATTCGAACCACTGACCTCTGCGATACTAGTGCAGCGCTCTACCAATTGAGCTAACAAGCCAACTGGGAGCAGGCCATCAAATTAATTCGATATAAACCCGTAGATGATAAATCAAACAACAACAAACATATGAAACATATGTGTGAACTGCGGTTATGAGACGTATATGAGCACGATCCTTCGCAGTAAAGCACTATTTGAGCAATAGTGAAAATCAGACCTGAAAAAAATTTCAGAAGGACTTAGTTTCATGTTGTTGTTACAGTTCAAATGAGTTACCGTCGTTTTCACTGCTCTCCGAAAATAAAAAACCTTGAGAATAGACTTCCCACGATTACCGTCCATCAAACTCCACTGACGAATTTCATTGGCCGAAATTGACACCTAACCTAGCCGCTAGCTTTTGAAAAGTAAAACTTCGCACCAAATTCGTCAGCGGGTGTGGGTTGGTAATAAAAAAACCTACTTTTATTGCATAAAATAAATCAACTATCCTTATCTTTTATACAGTTTTTAAGATATTTAGGGCATCTAGTCTTGTGTCAGCTGTCAGTAAAAGCCCACCACAAATGTCAGTTGTCAGTTAGATTTTCAGTGATTTGTCAGTTGTCTGTTTAAATTTTGGCCATTTTTCAGTTGTCAGTTAATCCTATCCAGACCCTTATGCAATGAAGTGGAAGAAGTTGCATTAATGATATTCAGTTTCAAATAATTTTAGTCTCATGATCATTCTTAAAGCTACTCTTTTTATCACGCACGACCTACTTAACGTGCCGACCGCAATTGCAACGGTACGTATAGATTTTGAAAAATCCACCCAACAAATCCTACTATCCCAAACCTTCTCTATTACCTGAGTTATTTACATCCGAGAGGTCGAGTAAAAACAAGATGGGCTTTCCTTTCATTCCAGTCACCACTAAAAGGAAAGAATAAAATAAACAAGGCAATATATGGTCGTTGTCGAGGCTCTCAACCATTTTAACTGAGTGGTGACTCTTCCCTTTTAAGACCGTGGAGTAAGGGCGGGCGGAGAGGGGGATAAGGGGGGTGGAGATCCCCCCGGCAACCCACGGCATTTGACTGTTGTCCGTTCCTGGAGAATGGGGAATTTAAACTTTTAAACCAACGGAACACATATATTTGATCTTTTAATATGATGGTGTTTTAAGATAAGAATTCTCAGTTTTCGCAGCAGATGGCTCAGAAAAAAAGGTGTCCAAAAAAACAAAATCATGGTCGCTGATCTTGCCTTCAAAAATATTTATCATTAAATCTAGCATTTGAACACTATTTTCAATTTGGTCCTAGGGGAAAGTATTTTAAACGAACCAATCTTTCAAAATTTCATATATCCGGTGGGGCTGCCCAGGGTGGATGTTGAAGTTTTGAATTGATGGACGCATTACGTCCAGATATAGTTTACAGGGATTATTTACAAGAAGAATAAGGGCTCACACCAAACTAGTTAACAGCACAATGTACAAAAACACTCCAAAAAGTTTTATTGCGGCAAACTATATCGGAAAGTCTTCTTCAATCAAGATATGCATATAATATACTTGAAATGTTCTTTACAGAGGCGAGAAGCGAATTAATACTTTCGGCCTGGGAAGAATTACTAACCCTTGGTTTCCTTTTGACTGTAAACTGCTAAGATCAAAGGTACGACTTTATTTAAAAATGATTTTTAAAGTGGAGTGGAACTATTGAAGTAGATACGTATGATGCACGATCCTCGCAGTAGATAGCGCTATTTATGCAATAGCGAAAATCAAACCTGAAAAAAATCAGGCCTGTACGGGATTCGAACCACTGACCTGTGCGATACTAGTGCAGCGCTCTACCAATTGAGCTAACAAGCCAACTGGGAGCAGGCCGTTAAGTTGATTTGTAGTAAACCCGTGATGATAAATCAGATATGATGAATATATGAAGTTCATATATTTTGAACTGCGGTTAAAGATACGTCTGATGCACGATCCTCGCAGTAGAGAGGATTTTCGCTATTGCATAAATGGCGCTCTCTACTGCGAGGATCGTGCATCATACGTATCTAATACCGCAGTTCAAAATATATGAACTTCATATATTCATCATATCTGATTTATCATCACGGGTTTACTACAAATCAACTTAACGGCCTGCTCCCAGTTGGCTTGTTAGCTCAATTGGTAGAGCGCTGCACTAGTATCGCAGAGGTCAGTGGTTCGAATCCCGTACAGGCCTGATTTTTTTCAGGTCTGATTTTCGCTATTGCATAAATAGCGCTCTCTACTGCAAGGATCGTGCATCATACGTATCTTTAGCCGCAGTTCAAAATATATGAACTTCATATATTCATCATATTGAAGTAGAACTGAGTATTACTTTCTAAGAAACTTTCAAGACATTCCGAAATTCAGAGCCATCTAAGATTTGAAAACAAAACGGGTGAACCTTGATGTTTGAAAACTCTGAATACAGCAGGTAAAACTTCGAGCGAAAATGTTGATTAAACATCTAGTGTATTAGCTCCCATTATTGCCTCTGAGAACAACATTTCTTTCTGGAATTTCATACTTCATTTTATATTTGGCATTTAAGTGGCTCTATTATACGAAATATGCGATTAAGCCGCTTTCGGGATTACGACTACTTTATATCTTCAACATTCTAAGAGAAGTGCCAAAATATTTGAGAGCCTCGGTAGTGAAGTTTTTTTTTTTGTTTTTTTTTTTATTTTTACCATGTGCTCATTACGCCCTGAATATAGAAAGAGAGCACTCTCAAAAACATGCATTTTACCAAACTTTACCTTAAACACAATGAAGCCCACACTTGATGTCTAATAGGTACTTAATACACTGTCCACAGGACGGTGAATATAAGGAAAAGATAGCCTGGAAACTTATAATTACTCGTGACAAGTTCAAAAACTGTCGATCTCGCGTCAAATTTCTCCGTTTCAAATTAATTGCGCGCGTTTTTCTTGCTCCGTTACAAGGATTCAAAACTCACGAGAAATTTGAATAAAAAATTTTACTTTAACTCTCGATCTCCTTTTGTGATTTACTACGAATGAAACAATCAATCAAGATTTGTTATTCCTGATCTAACTACTATGCTAATCTAAATGATCGTGTTTGTGAAAAAGGAAAAATGCAAAGTGGAAACTATTAAATATTTTGCATCTATAACTTGTTGCATCATATTGTCAAAAATGTACTTTACTTAAAATTTTCGTTGCAATGAACGCGATAAGGCCATGATAAACGAGTAGGGCTGTGCAAATCATTAAAAATCTATAATGTCTAGCAGACAATACATTAAATGGAATAGAAAAACTCCCTAAAAGTGTAATTGGATAGAACATCCTGTAATACATCGGATGCCTGTCAGGTTCATCACAATCTATTGAAAAGGCGATCTTAAGGTTTAACGGGTACTTGCACGAGGTCAGCTTCCTACAGAAGATCAGCCATCTTGGGAAACCCTTGTTCAATCAACAATTCGTACAGCTCATCCACGCTTAAGTGGCGCCGCTTGACGATAAAAGACAGAGCTGCTGCCATTGGGTTCAGTGTACGCTTGTCAAGAAAACGAATTTCTTGTGGAGTCAGTCCCAGCCCTTCAACAACCCCCATCCATTCATCGCCACCTGAATCAAAGGTTTATTTATTTGTTTGTTTGCCTGTTTTTTATTCAGCGATGTTTAAAATTTTAGTGCATATGCATCTTCTTCCGCCCCGAGGGACTTACTCCTTACTGGATTTAATTCTAGATATATATAGTTACCCTTAGAAATTCCATAACATAAAACTATGTGTTAATCAAATGGAAGCGTCAATTTGGACGTGAATCTAGGAAACTGACATTTCAAACTAAATATAGGCATAGGCAAGGAAAAGAAATTATGGCGCTTGTGAAGTTTCCTTCCTACATTATTTGTTACATGAGAGGTAAAGCTTACCAGATAAATTGATTGTAAGTTCCCTTGCTTTAGCGAACGGTATATTTTGGACAGGAAGGTTTTCAGGCAACAAAGGACCTGAAAAAAAGAAAAACCAAACAGTTGGGCCACGCAGGAATAGTTGATTCATTAAATAAAAAGACACTCATATGAAAAAATAAGGTTTTGAGTGTAAAGAACAACGCTTAACTGTCTTTGTACAGGTCGACTAGGAAGCTTAACAATGCATGATGAAAGAATCGACGAAAAAATAAGTTCTCCAGGTCACGTAATTGCTCCAAAGATGGCTGTCTAAGAAAATTTTTAGAGTTTGCCTATTCTACAGAATTGATGTCATTTCTTGAATAACCTCACGTTTCTCATAGTTTCATAGCGACACAGGTTTCGGAAGAATGAGCAACTAACCAGTAGTTCCAGCCGGTGCAATTTCTTTTAAAAGTTTAAAGACATCAAGCCTCTTAAATTCCTTCGCTTTTTGGGCCAGACTACGGATTAGTTTCGTAGTTTCGAGGTCTGGCCGCTCCAGAAAGTCTTGGTCCAGTTGCAGGTTTTCCTTCAGTTGAAAAACAACCTCTTTGGCATCCCGCGACGGTATCAGAAGGGATTGCTGAACATTTTCAGGTAGGAAAACTTCTATAAATGCGAAGAATAGAGAAATACACTATAGAATTGATGACAACACAAAAAATTTTTTCATCACAAAAGATGTTAGTGAAGGTGTAGTCTGATCGTCCGGGTGAGTGTAGTCCTGAGAAGGACTGTTGTCGGTGGCAGTGACTGACGTTTCGACAACCTGTGCGGAAGTCATCATCAGAGTCAAGTGAGTGATTGTTGTCAGTAGAATGTTCTTATTCCAGTTCGTGTGAAATGATCGGTTGGTTTTGCCGTGATGTTATTGGCTGTAAGACTCAAGTGACGTAAGTCGTTCGTGATTGGTCTGTTTCGGTCTGTCGGTAAAGCTAGGTTGTTCTTTTTCGGTCGTTTGTGATGTTTATGTCGTGAATGAGTCGTTTGTATGGGGCGGGTAGTTGTTGACATCTGTTTAGGGGAGTCTGTTCTAAGTTAGTAAACCAGCTTTCCAGAGTCAGTCGTTGAAAATAGTCAGTGCTGTAGGTTAGGCATTGCGCAGAGTCCCAGTCAATGTTGTGGTTGGTAAGTCGATGGTGTTCAGCAATGTGATTGCTGACATCACCTTTCCTCGTCGCCCGTCTGTGTTCAGTCAGTCTTGTTGTGAGGTTTCTGCCAGTCTCACCGATGTAGGAGGCTTGGCAGTCGGAACAATTGATCTTATAAATCGTTCCCTGTCTGTTCCTCGGTTCGTCTTTGTCTTTAACGTTGGTTAGTAACTGACGTAGTGTGGTGATGGGTTTGTGGGCGACGCGGATATTGAAGGGTAGTAAGATGCGCGAGATGTTTTCAGACATGCCTTTTATGTACGGTATGGTTGCTGTAGTCGTAGGGGTTGCGGTGTCGTTTGTTTCGGTAGTGGTAGTGNCATCTCGCGCATCTTACTACCCTTCAATATCCGCGTCGCCCACAAACCCATCACCACACTACGTCAGTTACTAACCAACGTTAAAGACAAAGACGAACCGAGGAACAGACAGGGAACGATTTATAAGATCAATTGTTCCGACTGCCAAGCCTCCTACATCGGTGAGACTGGCAGAAACCTCACAACAAGACTGACTGAACACAGACGGGCGACGAGGAAAGGTGATGTCAGCAATCACATTGCTGAACACCATCGACTTACCAACCACAACATTGACTGGGACTCTGCGCAATGCCTAACCTACAGCACTGACTATTTTCAACGACTGACTCTGGAAAGCTGGTTTACTAACTTAGAACAGACTCCCCTAAACAGATGTCAACAACTACCCGCCCCATACAAACGACTCATTCACGACATAAACATCACAAACGACCGAAAAAGAACAACCTAGCTTTACCGACAGACCGAAACAGACCAATCACGAACGACTTACGTCACTTGAGTCTTACAGCCAATAACATCACGGCAAAACCAACCGATCATTTCACACGAACTGGAATAAGAACATTCTACTGACAACAATCACTCACTTGACTCTGATGATGACTTCCGCACAGGTTGTCGAAACGTCAGTCACTGCCACCGACAACAGTCCTTCTCAGGACTACACTCACCCGGACGATCAGACTACACCTTCACATGTTACCCCCGGGTTCAAACCATTTACTGCAAAAGATGTTAGGGAAGTTTTAATTAGTAACTGGTTTGGAGAATTTCGGCACAACAGTATTTTCAATATCCCGCTATGATTCGAGCAATGTTAAAAGAATAGAGTCTTTCGCCTTTACCAGCCCTCCTCGTCCTGTTTGGATAAAATCATACACTTCTCTAATCCAATCCTTTCCCAAAAGGAGTCAAAGTGAAAAGCTCACGATGCTCTCACCGGTAGTTTTATTTGAAGTAGCCAGCGCTTGCTCCCTTTTTGAATCAGAGATCGGTGTTCCAAAGCAAGTTCCCTCCAACTGAAGAACCTCTTTCATTTGTGGAGTTATATCTTCGCCAACGCGTTCTCGAGTCAAGCAGAGTTGCGTAGCTTTATCAGAAGAAAAGAAAGAAACTATTGATCGCAAATTGAAGACTTACAGTACCTTTTTTCTCTCGAACTTACCCCACTTTTTGCTAAATGAGTAGTCGTACACGCTTAAAAAGGACCAAATTGAATTTTTTAAGTCTTCTTGCTGAAGAAATTAATTCACATGTCCCATCTTTTAAAAGCTATCACGCGAACGCTTTTTTTCACGAAGTCCTTATTAGGTAGTTTTTTTCTATTAACACTGAGCATCTGGAGCAAGCCACAAAAATGTATGTAATATATTTACCATCCGACGAAGCTAAACTCCCATCATCATCTTCACTACATGTGGGTTGCTGAAAAAAGGAAATGAAGTAAAACTTTAAATGACATTCCACTCCTTATTTCATTTTCCTCCTCAGTAGGGAATGTCCCCTTCGTAAAGTGTAAAGAGCATCACCATGATCACTTTGGGGATACTTAATCAAAGATGTATTAAATCTTTTTAGCTTACTGTTACAAAGCTGCCAGCCATCAGCACCGAAGTCAATCACGTGAGCTTTTTTCCTTTTTCTTTTCTTTTCTTTTTTATTATTTTAGGAGGAGTAAAAAGGCGATCTGACCGTTTAATAACCCACCTTAGATTAAACATTTCATATTCATAAAAGGGCGCGGTAAAGCATAACTCAAAAGGAAACGCACTCATTTCTTCCGACATTACTGACTATTAGTCGCATCCTAAGGCACCAGAGAATTTCGTTACGTTATATACCTGATTTCTCTTGGAACGAAACCAAGCCTCGAAGTATTTTAGCGAAATGCTGTTAGACTTGGCAGTTGCAGAGCGGGTGCAACAAATGTTCTTCATATTTCTGCACAACTCAGACTTGGACCAGAAATGGAGGCATTCATCTTGCTTGCAGCCCTTTGAAAGATGTGTGCGGCAGTAACTGACTGCACCTCCTGGACAACAAACAGGGCATAGGAACTGCACTGCATACTTCATATTCTGAAGCCACCAAAACTCTATTCGCATGGACTCAAGCATCAGCTCCAACTGCCTAAGCACTGCACAAGCAAAGGTGTCATCGTTGTTGTGAAGAGGCGAAGTCGTCTTTGACTTTGATCTGTGTGTTTCCCAATTACTGGAACTACCTCTGTGGACAACAACTTCAATAGACGACATACGGCACAGGAGAATGACAGAGCAGTTTCCTTCTTCAGAATTGTAAAATCGAGCAAAATTAAGATACAGCTGAGGGTACTCTGGGCTTGCATATTCTTGTTTGCACCACTGAAACAGTTGCAGCACCAATCGACAAAATAGGCCAGATGGAACTTGTCCAGACTCAAAGCGAAGAAAAAGAGGAGGAGCTTCTGCAGATGCAACTAGCTCCAGTACATCCTCTGGTGGGTGTGACATCAGCATGGAGGGTACCAGATACGTCCTACTGCACGATCCATCAGATGAAGGTAAAGGGCAAAGCAAGCTGAATTTCTCCATAATCGCTACAAGACTCTCACGGGTTTCTCCATCGTCATAACTGGAGCCCCAAACATGTTCTAAAAGATCTTCCTCCAAGACCCCTTCTTTTTCAAGCTTCTTCCATAGGTCTTTAAACTTCTTCTCTTTGCCATCGTATGGCCTTACAGTTATTACCTCCTTAAGCACATCAATCAACCACTGAACGTCCAAGACCACCATTTTGTTAAGATTCGGGGTGTCATCAAAGTGAATTAAAATCCTCTGGTCGTGTAAAAAGTTTAGTAATGCACTGAATTCGTCATCGTCAACAATATCGCACACATCACTAGCAATATCTTTCGCACTTTGAAGGGGTATCCATTTGCGGCCTTCTTCTTTCGTGGTTTGAATTGCTTTTTCAAATTTCAGCCACCTGATTGGAACGGCTTGTTTTGCCTGTGGTAGTTTCTTAGCGACAGCAAGCACTTCTTTGCGCAGGCGCACTACTTCTGGGCACTCCGACTCATGACCAGACTTGGTGTTATCCACAACAAAGACGTCATCATACAAATGGACGTTATATGGTTTGTTTTGTAGGTGACCAAATACCATTCCAGCTTGTACTTTTGGACCACGTCGATCATGAGGCATGTCAGCATGAGTGCATACTAAAAAAACGGGGGGGAGCTTCTCAGGTAACACATCAGATTGTGTAACCACCGGATTGCCTTCATCCTGAATGGCTAGGGAAGCTACGGAGGACATCCAGAAATCGAGGTAATCCATATTGGTCTTTAGGGAATGGCTATCCTCCAACTCCGTGAACATTCCCTGCTTCGGCGATTTGACTTTTTCAAATGGATTCCGGCTCAGGTCGCTGACTAAAAGAAAAATTGCGTTTGAAGTAAGGAAGAGAGGGTGTGTTGCATGATAAACTGTTTGTCCGCCAAAATCCCACAATACTGAAAAAACGTCTTCTTCGCATTTCGTTATATCCTCGCTCTGCAGCAACATTTCAATTATACTTGCTACATCAGCTGGCATGTCTTTTATGCTGTCACCACCTCGTTTTTCTCCGGTAATTTTAACTTGAGACAAGTCGGAGGATTCCCAGTTTTTCATTGGGACATCGGCAGGGTCAAGGGACAAGTCATGGCTAATTTCAGGAGTTAACACCGAACCTGAGGATACGGAATGAGTGTCAGGGATTCTTTCTTCTGCGCGTTCAGTTTTCACTGGAACACGTTGTGACGAGGGAATTGAAGGGGCACGACTTTCTTTAAATCCTGAAAGCTTTTTGATTGGAAGAGTCTCTTTAATTAGCATGTCCTCCTCAAGATTTTGCGGAAACATGAATTCTTGTTCCTCATTCAGATTTTCCACTGTCAAACGCGCGGCTTGGTACTCATACGAGAAAGTTGTCCCTGAATTCACTCCTTCGTCCTTCTCTCCCACTTTCCATACATCGTGGGAAACTTTAAAATAAGAAGGATCGACAGTTACACCAACGGTGCTATTTTCATCTTCGTCAAAAATTTGTCCCCTAAGGGATCTTTTCAAGCTGGTCTTTCCCGAACGGTCCTGTCCAATTAACATAATGGGTACTCTCCTGACAAAGGTCTTCCCTTCAGCAATGGCCTTCTTGTAGGCTTTCAAAGCCGAAGGGCCTCGTGCAAGAATATGCGGTGGAATGTCTGTGGAGGAAAACCCTTCAATTGAATGAAAGCCTTATCATACAAAACCTGCTTTAACGTTATACTTTTAAAGTACAACAGGAATATACAAAATGATGATGGCATGCCTCGAGAACATTTTTCTTGCAGTTGCGATTGCCGAAGACGCTTCCATAAAAGTTCGACTGGAATAAAACTGTTAAAAGTTCAAGTTGTTACGTAGCCCCAGACTCTATTTCCCTACAGGATAAAGAGAGTATGCCGCGATTCTGCATGAGTGGACGCCTACATAGGTAGGCAAGGGGGAATTATTATTGGCCTAGACTGTTGCACTTTAAAAATGGCTCGAAAATTTGTCGTGCCCCTGCCGCTTCATGCTGACTTAAATGGTTAATCATTCCAAAGATTGGAAAAGAGCAAAACCAACATCTGTTGAAAAACCAAAACCGCTGAGAAACTGTCACCTTTAACCTCTGATCGCGCAGACGCCAAGAAATATTTCTCAAAGCTAATTTCCTTTTAAGCAGTAAGTTGTAAAAATAATTTAAAAAACTCGCTTCCTCCGTAAATTAATTGCCACAAGTTACCCAAAATCTTAAGCCACTTTCAAGTGTAAACATCCGATACCAAGAGGAAACTGAAGGGGAGAAGGAGGAGAGTTATGGTACAGTTCCGAGGAAATTGTTATCCATCCTATACGAAAACTAACATTGCGTGGCTACATGAGAAATCGGAGAGGAGTCGACCGATAACGCACCGTCTGTCCACCCGGTTTCTCTCCGACCATAACGCTTTAGATTCAGCGGCCACTTTACAGAAAGAGAACTTACCGCTAAAGCCCCAAGATAAATTACCTTCCATTTCCTCAGAGAGTATTTTGAGCTCCTGCTCAATAATTCCTCTAACATGTGGCGAAAAAAAGTGTTTGATTTCCTCCCAGCCCAACTCTAACAAGCACACACTCGTTATGTCTTCCTCAGCCAGCTGACTCAAGACCTCGTCTATGCTACTCGTTAGCAACTGGTACTTTTTTTGAAGCAAGCGAAGGAAAACCTCCAACGAAACTAGGAAAGTAGGAACAGAGAACAGCTATAGAAATGAAAAGTGGGCACATTTAGTCCATGCATGGAAACATGACTGAAACGCTACGAAATGAGGTAAGGAATGGGTGCTGACTACATGTATTTAGTGGGATTCATGCTTGGAATGTCACAGGAAATTATACTAATCTTTATCGTAGTGAGGTGACTACAGCGACCTAACTAGTATAGCAATTGGCTGTTCTAACCCACTTTACCATATTTTGGGCTCAAATTCCAAGGTCAAGGTCTAATTATGAGAAACGGGACAGGTTTCGGATTCTCAGAAATGGTACTAGTTTACATACATACATACTTTATTGACTTTCCCCAAGGGGGCTTTTCAAAGACAATGTTTGATGGTCACCAGACAAACAAACAACTTCATAACCAAATCCACAATCAAAATGTTTCTGATAGGCTTCTGTAAAAGATTTACTGTCTCCTTGTTCGCATTTTTGTATCTTCACTGTGATAGCCTCAAAATCAGTATAAATGACAAATGCAACAGCTTGCTGCTTATGATAATTGGTAAACTTAACACATTCACCTTTCTCAGGCATTTTGATTGATTATTTTCCATTGATTGTCACACAATTTGATTTATGCGCCTCGAGGATTTCTAAGCTACTGAAACATTACAAACAGTACATACAAAAGTGTTTCTTATGTTCGTGTTTAGTTTATTTGAACAGAGTTTGACTAATGGTCGTGGGTCGTGGGTCGTGGGTCGTGGGTCGTGGGTACAAGTCGTGGGTCATGGGTGTGGGTGTGGGTGTGGGTGCGGGTGCGGGTGCGGGTAAAAGTCGTGGGTGTGGTTAATACTTAATAATACAAATAACCATTGAAAATATTAAATATAATAATACATAAATTTTATACAACCCTGTCATTCTAGTTATTTTAGTTTGTTTATTCCATTTACCCTACTTTACGTCTATTTTCATCTGTTATCTCACTGTCAATGAAATTAGTTATACATATTTCCGCTATTATATCATACAGCTATTTAAAAACCACTTTCTATATGCACCAAAAAAGCCAAAAAAACAGATACAATCTTTGTTTGCGCTTTTCCATAGTGCAAATACGATAGTGTTTTGGCATAGGGTAAAATATGGACTGAACTATTTTTTGGACTATTTTTTGGACCATTTTTTGGACCATTTTTTGGACCATTACGTGGACCAAATAAGGAGTTTCAGTTTCGAGACGCATTCCGAGATGTCGTTTGATAACAAAGGAAAGAGAGATAAATCTTGTAATTACACACTGTGTACAAGTTTTTCGAGCTGTGCGGTCTGCGGTCTGCGGTCTGCGTTTTCGAGGTCTGTGTTAACGAGATGCTTTGTACCTGATTTGCTTAGGCTACTCTAAACACACGCTTGGGAGTCGTGTAGGCCTGTCAACCCCATTTTACGCCACCATCTTCCTCTTCGCTACTGGAGACAACTTCGCTTCGTTCAGAAGAAGATTCACTTGACAAAACTTCAATATCTGCCATCTCCTTCGCCCACGAATACAAACAAACAGTGAGTGAAATAAACCACGCTATCGGAGTGAACACAACCAGTGACGTCATCAATCCATTTCGCTCGGTACCAGGGCCCGGACATGGTTTTGTGTAAAATTTTTGATTTGAACGGTTAAAAAAGATATCTTTCGCTTCTTTTTGGCCAAAGCAATTTATCTCATGATGATCAGCATATTCAAAACTACAGGTTAGAACAAATATTTCAGATACGAAAATTTCGTTTCAGTAGCACTTTAACAGGTTGAGCCCACACACACGCGCAGTGCCCAGCGTATTCATTGGGAGTTTAAACATACCGAACATTTTACAAGATGGCGTCGCAGCAGTTAGAAGCTCTACAGGAAAGCTTCTACAGGTTCAAATGTAAAAAATTCTAAATGAGGAAATACAAGAAAATGAACAGAGGAAGAAACGGAAAAGCTGATTGATTTGTTGGAGAAAAATACATGCTTATGGGACGTAAGCACGTAAGAGTACCATTTAATAAACAAGAGAAAGAAAGCACTCGGTGATATAGTGACGAACTAGACATTGAGGTAGCAGATATTAAGACAAAGATGTTTAGCCTTCGATCTCAGCTTGGCCGAGAACTTAACACAATAAGATCAAATTAAAGAAATCACGTTAAGGCGTCGATGAAATCGGAGAGCTCAACATGTCGAGTCATTGTTGAGATCATTTGAACGCCCCGCTCAACAACACCTCAACAAACACTCAACATGTTGAGAGCTTGTGCAGAGGACAAATCCAGTGCATTTGCACGGGGCCTTAAGTTCATCTCAAAATTGGGTAAGTGGAGGAATTATGTTTTCTTCAATTTCCTTAACCATTTGTTTTAACCGATTTTCTTGGTGATAGTACAGGTGATTTTGGTTTTGTTTGAATATTTGCATCAGTGTATCGATTTTCTCATCCTGCTTCATCAACAATTAAATCAATTCAGATTTAAAATTGAAGCGCAGCCAGGATGAGACATATTAAAATACAGTGAAACGGCGTTCTCTGGCCAAAAGATTTTGGAAACATGAGCTTTCGGCTATCGATCTACAGCCTTCCACGGATAAAACATGAAATGTTTTATTCGTGGAAGGCTGTAGATCGACAACTGAAAGCTTATGTTTCCAAAGTCTTTTGGCCAGAGAACGTTTTCACCGTATTTTAATCCAGATTTAGACAACTTTTTTAGACCTCTCTTATCGAGATTTATATTACTATATGTTTCTATTATTTTTTTTAGAACTCAGTTTCACTTGACTCATCCTGCCAATACGTAAATTGACACTGCCTCATTGAGGTGGATCCCATTTCTTTGAAAAATCTGATGTGAAACGATCAAGTCCTTGATCAATGTATTTGTCATCCATACCTTTTATCTTTTTCTTGGCAAAATCAGATTTTACTGCTTTTGCTGCTCCTATTCTTCTAAGATTAACTAGCCTTTTTGTTAATCCTTTAAAATGCATCTCACCAATGGAATGTGAATTGCCAACATCAAGGAATCCACCATTGTGTGCATTTTTCTTCACGAATTTAGTCTTTGTCATGCCACAAGAAGAGCAATTACAGAAAAACATTAATTGCAACCGACCATCTTTTGCAGTTTTATATCCAGACGGCTCAACACATTCTGTTTGCTTCTTCTCTATTACACAATCAGATTTCATATATAATTAGATCAGGGTGTTTCATCAAAATTCTTCTTCACATTCTTCTTTTCTTTGCCCAACGAAAGAAATTCAAATGGTTTAAGTTCATTGATCATCTTTTGGTCTATTATATTCTCTTTTGCTATCAGATTGCTGTGGTTCTTCGTAACAGGCGGATAAAGGATCATATGACTCCAATTCAATCGGAGCTACTGTGGTACATCATAATTCTGCTACGGGAAAATTTCGTGATTTTTCGAATTCCTTGTGGACGTTTAAGCATATTTATTCTTTGTTTTGGTATTCTAGCCGTTCTCAGTTCATGCGAGTTTCTTTCACTGTGATGTTTTAAAAAGATAAAAAGCCACAAGTAAATTTTAAATAGCCAAGTTAAGTTGTACAGCTGCATCTCGACACTTTGTTGTTCAATTCTAATGAAACCTTTAGTAAATATAAGTGTTGATGGTCTTTCTGCTAAAATTGGTTCGCATGGTAGTTGGCAGCTGAGTTTAAACTCCGAGTAAGACTTTCATTAAGGACGATTCTATTCTCCTCAGAAAATCCTAGGTCTAGTGAAGTCGAGTCCTTGAAAGCCTTCCTCGCTCGATAAAGTTGTTCTCTAACATTCCGGCTCGTAGATTTCACAATAATGGCAGGAGGAAAGATAGGCTTTCTCTGTTCGGTTTGACTTTTATCATTGAATGATTCCTTCAAAGCCTTTGACTGGTTTGTATTATTTAGGCCCTCAGCTTTTAAACTCTTCTTCTCAATAACTAGTGCTTTTCTTTCTTCTTCGTAGGCTGTCATTTTTGTTAGTAGTTGGTCATATTTAGAGTTCGCAGTGGCGATGGATACCTCCAACTCTTTAATCGATTTACACAGAGGCGCGAAGCCTCTCCAATAAATTCTCGAATTCCTCTCTCATTAGACCTTCCATAATGGTAAGTAACTAATACATGAAAACACGAGACACAAAATATGAAAAAGGAAAGAAAAAGAAAACAGCTTTGACAAGCTGAAATCACTGTAAATCAGCGGAGCTAATAATGACCGCCATGTTTCTCGCTGACCGCTGACCTATCAATATGCCAAACACAGATCGTCAGGCAAAGAACAGTTTAAAAATGCCTAAGTCTTCTATACAATGACCAGTTCTTGGACAGTTTGAAGGCACTGGATGACATTATCACTGATGTGTCCACTGTCGGAGAAATTTGAAAAGGAATAGCGACAGAAGTTCACATGAGTGTATCCTTGATTATTTCACCTTTCTCCTGCAATACATATTTCCAGAACTCTTCCAACCCTTAGGGTTCTTTTTGATTTAATTGTTTTTATGTTTATATTCATAGGCATCAAAGCCTACCATTCTTTTTCTTTCCGTCCTGGGGCTATCAAGTGTTGCAAATATAAATTCACCTTTTTTATACCACTGGTTCGATTTGCAAATTGTACTCAGTGTTGTTCGAGATCATTAATTACAATCATAATATGGTACTATCTCTGAAAAACAGATGGTTTGTCGAGTTTGAACTTGTTCTCATGATAGTCCACAAACTCTATGACCGGCTTATAACCATGAATCAGACCACATTTTTTAACAGAGCAAAAACTTCAGTCTATATTAATTTGCATAAACTTGCAGCATTCCTCTTTTTCAAGTATATATTACATTAACTTCCTATCTCAAAATGGGCATTCCACCTCTTGCATTTCAATCATTACCGCACGCACATTATAATCACAATTACTGATATTATTCATATATGTTAGTATAAAAGTGTTATTTTCATATAATCTATGTT